ATGTCATACATTTAAATGTCATTTTTTTACGCAGTCGCTAGCGAGCACACCTAACGTAAACTCATGGTAGGCACACAGTATATTATAAGACATGACAATCGGCTAGGGCTTACACTAAACATCCTTTTAACATTTTTAAACTTATTTTATTGGTGACTAAAATATAAATTAAGGATTACGTGTCGCACGCACGTTGGTACTTTAATAAAATCCTTCTAGTTGTCTTTGTTAATAAATAAAGAAACAAAACAAAATAAAGAAAGAAATATTATCAATAATGCTTGACGGTTTTGTTATAACGTTTGACAAAATGATTATAAATACAATATTAGGCAACTCAAAGTTGTTAGGTATTTCACTTCTATACGCCTCTACTACTCACAAATTCTACTCACGAATTTCAGCCCAATTTTCCGTCAATTTCCCACCTAAGAACGCTTAGCCGCTTGTTAATCTGCATTATCACATGCCTTTTAGTTTTTTAACGATTGCTCGACGATTAAAATGCGTGTGACTAGTACAAACCTAACAATGCTATTGTGTTCGCCGCCCAACACCGGTAAAACGTTAGGTAACGAGCTCACGTCCACGACTGTCGAATCAGTTCGTACTAAATTGGAACTGCCGTTATTCTTATCGGCTACATGTGACTCGTTCAGGTGGTATTACCGCCGTAACGATTCAACTTCTAAGATAATAACAGTCTATGATTCGAACATTAGGCCTAATTTTATCAACATTACCATACGAAAGAAAATAATATAACGTATGATAGCAGCACGCGATGGAAGCGGCACGGTGTTCCAACTGTTTTGTAACTGGGTTATGTCAAGTTAGATATAGTGTACCTACATTATAACATGCAATCTCGCATAAGCCAATTTTGTTCAAATCTTCATAATAATACCACCACGATTTTGATGTAGGTACACTTCTAAAGCCTGACATAACTCTCCTTTTTCATTTTAAAGCACATTATACGGCCCCGATTAGCCATTGATTCCCGACTTAGTGTCAGCCGGCTGACAGTGAGCCGCAACTGTACCTAACGTTTTATGAACTGAACGAAGTCTAATTTACGAAGAACGTAGGTATATCACCTACGTAGATGCTATAATCCTCGTGGTCTAGTAATTAGGGACTTTACCTACCCCGTCTATGCAGAAAGCCTGCGTTTAATGCCTAGACGACGCTCAATAAATTGGTGCAATATGAGAATCAACTCCATGAGGTTAATTTAGCTAGGAGGTACCCAATTACTGATTAGTAAATTTGTCTCACTGCAAGTTTCTGTAGCAAGCTATGCACGGGTTGTAGAGTTGAAGAACCATTTAGAATCTGACTCCTTGCCTGCAATCTGCAGCCTCGCATTGTCTCAAATCACATGCATAAATTGTACCCCATCTTGACTGTGTGGGTTGACGGCTTGTTATTGAAGAGATTCAACGGAGATTCTACTCCCAAGCTTTGTTGTTCTATTAATGTTGTGTTTTATCTGTTTATATAGGCTTCGTCTTAAGACGTCGAAATAATATTGTGTTAAGTGAGCATCTTGCTTGACGAGCATAGTAATACTCGTAGTAATAATACTATTAATTATTCGTATCACCTCTTCACATCATTTTCTGATTGAATTTGCGACACAGAAACCTGTAAGTAATAGATAGTTTAATTTCGTGATCATTCCACGTAGCGAAATAATTCACTGATCAGACATAGTCATCAGAAATTAAGGTAACATAATCATTGCACCTCTCCACTATAATTCCTAAGGCCAAAACCATGACAAATTATATCAACAAAGCCATATTTGCAAAACTCAGGGTTTGGATTTCCTAATTCGACCGTATTTTACCTATAATGAAAGCCACCTGGCATTGACTTCTAATTAAACTAACTTGTCGTGGTAAATAGCTGTTGTAAAAGAATGTATTGGAATCTGCATTAAAAATATCATACATTCTTCCAAACTACTCGGTTATCCGCACGGGGGCATAGCTGACATAACATACCATAGCTGCCTCGCTCGACGTACACCACGTGAATGATCCGCCCCATCGATTAATTTAATAGACTGAAAGCGGGCACAATTTGTGTTATTATAGGCACTTTGTTTCTCCCACGAGAGCCCAAGATAAGGCCTTTGGTGCCGATCGATGGAGCTTCTAATAAGCTTAGCTTGACTTCACGAGGAAATGTTTAACAACAATAATGTGAACTTTGCTTTGCATCTTTCTAATAGGTAGGTAGGTAATTAAGACGAAGCTCGAAGAAGACTTACGAATAATTAGATTTTAAACTTTCGCGTTCCATTTCAATTAAAATAGAGACACACGGATCTCAACGCATCATTTATATTATGTAACTCATACAAAAATTTCGCATTGAGACCCGTATTTCTCTATTTAATAGTTTAAAATAAGTTACCTATAGAAAATCAATCTCAAATCAATCAAGGTATTTACTAAGAAATCGTAGGTTGTTGAGCTTTGTAAGATTCTCTGAAATCCATGAAACCTAATTCAATTACAATTGAAAAAGAAATTAAGTAAAGAGATGACTAAGCTTAATCTTGTGCTTACAGATTAATATAATAAATCAAATGTCTATCAATAAAAGAAACGATTTAATAAATCCGATTTAATATCTACTATCTATACCTTTCTTCGTACAATTACCTACAACTAAGTAAGATCACCCTGAATTTGATGCACAGCTGCCTATTCGTGTTTGACGTACATCTGAAACAATAAGCACTATTAGATGCAGGTTTAATTTTCGTTTAGTTATGTGTAAGGCTGGGTTGCACCATCGTTCTTTGACTTAAACAAACGTCAGAATGTCAAACTCCATACAAAAAACACCGGTTATCGTTATACCTAGTTACGGTCAAAGTTAGGTGGTGCAACTCAGCCTAAGTGGATTCGTTCGGGCCTTGTTGTAACAGGTGAATTCGCAAAATTTTAGGTACCTAGGGTGTACCTACCTAAAATTTTGCGAATTCAGGATTAAAACTTGAAATACATTTACCGACTCGTTTTAATGTTTTACTTAGGACCTAAATAAAACTGTATCTACTGAAAATGTGTACAGTCCACGGCACAAATTGCTTTAGTTTCTCAAAATAGGTATTATAAATCCATTACAAGAAAATAAGATTAAGACTTTTTTCAAATGCTGCTTATTCTGCTAATTTGTTACCAGAGTTAATGCCAATTTTAATTGGATTTTGACTGACACAGATGTTGTTTAGGTTGGTTTGTACACACCTATTTCCAGAGTAATAAAGTTACAAAAATACTCACTGAGTCCACAGTTCCGTGCGCACAACAGCCTTCCAGGGTTAAAATAAGTCACGCTGTCCGACCCGCATACTGGGTTGTACTCCGACGTGGTTGGACAATTTTGTACGCATTCTTTTTGAGATGGAGTTTCCTCACTGAAAAGAAATAAAACTTACTGAAGAGTGAGTTTCTACATATTAGGGATATTTTATTAGGAGTATCCAGGATTGTTTGTCACTAAAATTGTACGATAGAGAAGGCCTTTTAGAAACTTTAACGCTGGGCATGAATTAGGCCCTTAAGGTTCGCGGTATAAGGACTCCACTTAAGTATCTTATTACTTCAGCATGTTTGATTACGTCTTTGTACTACCAAATGTAGGTAAGTATGACTTTTATTACACAGACAAAAATGTTATTAAAGTAGGTATCTAATAGATATAAATTATTTCAGATCAATCCTTACCTAATAAAGCAACAAACCTTGGTATATGGACACTGGGAGTCGTAAACCAGGTATACCATGCCTGTGGATCGCGATCTAACGGTCTAATGACTATACCACTTAACCGCTTGATAATGTTATGTAATCGTAATTAACATAAATTATTTTAAACATTATACTACTCACTCATCTAAGAAAACTATGACGTCACTCGATATAGTTGTAGTCGGAACTGATACTGTCTTCCCCCATATTGCATTCTTAGTCGTCGTCCTCATTAACTCTTGGTCGTCTTGCTTTGGGAACATTACATTGCCATCGTCGTTTATGTTAGTATTTTCAGTAGTAAAGAAATCTTCTAACGTTCCTTCATTTCTGGTATCTAAACTTCCATAGTCGTCACCCTCGTGGGGACTTACAGGATTTTGGTTCCATTCAGATCTTTGAAATCTTGAATTATTTGACGATGGACTCACAAGATCGGGCCTTAGATCATTATTGTTTTGAATATTTAGTAANATTAAAAATTATTAAAGTCAATCTAACTCGTCGTGGTAAATAGCTGTTGTAAAAGAATGTATTGGAATCTGCATTAAAAATAGCATACATTCTTCCAAACTACTCGGTTATCCGTACGGGGGCATAGCTGACATAACATACCATAGCTGCCTCGCTCAACGTACACCACGTGAATGATCCGCCCCATCGATTAATTTAATAGACTGAAAGCGGGCACAATTTGTGTTATTATAGGCACTTTGTTTCTCCCATGAGAGCCCAAGATAAGGCCTTTGGTGCCGATCGATGGAGCATCTAATAAGCTTAGCTTGACTTCACGAGAAAATGTTTAACAACAATAATGTGAACTTTGCTTTGCATCTTTCTAGTAGGTAATTAGGACGAAGCTTGAAGATGCTACTACATACAAGACTTACGAATAATAAAATTAGATTTTAAACTTTCGCGTTCCATTTCAATTAAAATAGAGACACACGGATCTCAACGCATCATTTATGTAACTCATACAAAAATTTCGCGTTGAGACCCGTATTTCTCTATTTAATAGTTTAAAATAAGTTACCTATAGAAAATCAATCTCAAATCAATCAAGGTATTTAATAAGAAATCGTAGGTTGTTGAGCTTTGTAAGATTCTCTGAAATCCATGAAACCTAATTCAATTACAATTGAAAAAGAAATTAAGTAAAGAGATGACTAAGCTTAATCTTGTGCTTACAGATTTAGTAAAAATGTCTATCAATAAAAGAAACGATTTAATAAATCCGATTTAATATCTACTATCTATACCTTTCTTCGTACAATTACCTACAACTAAGTAAGATCACCCTGAATTTGATGCACAGCTGCCTATTCGTGTTTGACGTACATCTGAAACAATAAGCACTATTAGATGCAGGTTTAATTTTCGTTTAGTTATGTGTAAGGCTGGGTTGCACCATCGTTCTTTGACTTAAACAAACGTCAGAATGTCAAACTCCATACAAAAAACACCGGTTATCGTTATACCTAGTTACGGTCAAAGTTAGGTGGTGCAACTCAGCCTAAGTGGATTCGTTCGGGCCTTGTTGTAACAGGAACCCTACCTAAAATTTTGAGAATTCAGGATTAAAACTTGAAATACATTTACCAACTCGTTTTAATGTTTTACTTAGGACCTAAATAAAACTGTAGTATCTACTGAAAATATGTAATTATGTACAGCCGACAGCACAAATTGCTTTAGTTTATTTACAAAATACGTAGGTATTAGATATCCATTAAAAGAAAGTAAGAAGACTTTTTTCAAATGCTGCTTATTCTGCTAAATTGTTACCAGAGTTAATACCATTTTTAATTGGATTTAACTGACTTAGACAGATGTTGTTTATCTTGGTTTGTAAGTAGATACACACCTATTTCCAGAGTAATAAAGCTACAAAAATACTCACTGAGCCCACAGTTCCGTGCGCACAACAGCCTTCCAGGGTTAAAATAAGTCACGCTGTCCGACCCGCATACTGGGTTGTACTCCGACGTGGTTGGACAATTTTGTACGCATTCTTTTTGAGATGGAGTTTCCTCACTGAAAAGAAATAAGACGCTGGCTGAAGAGTGAATTAATTAATAATTCTGGATCTGGATATTCCTATCCAGAATTATTTTTCACAAAAATTGTACGAAAGAGAGAAGGCCTTTTTGAAAATTTTACGCAGGAGCAGGACATTACATAACTAGGGGTATCGTACCATATGGTTCACGATATAAGAACTCCATTTATCTTACTTCAGCATGTTTGAATACGTTACACACTTTTATTGCACAGATAAAAATGTTATTCATGTAGGTATTTAGGTATAAATTATTTCGGATCAATCCATACACCTATAACCGAACAAACCTTGGTATATGGACATGGACAGTGGACACTGGGAGTCATAAACCAGGTGTACCATGCCTCTGGATCGCGATCTAACGCTCTAATGACTAGACCACTTAACCGCTTGCTAATATAATGTAATCGTAATTAACATGAATTATTTTTATTATTAGTAGTTACTCACTCGTCTAAAAAAACTATGACGTCACTCGATATGGTTGTAGTCGGAACTGATACTGTCTTCCCCCATATTGCATTCTTAGTCGTCGTCCTCATTGGCACTTGGTCGTCTTGCTTTGGGAACATTACATTGCCATCGTCGTTTATGTTAGTGTTTTCAGTAGTAAAGAAATCTTCTAACGTTCCTTCATTTCTGGTGTCTAAACTTCCATAGTCTTCGCCCTCGTGGGGACTTTCAGGATTTTGGTTCCATTCAGATCTTTGAAATCTTGAATTATTCGACGATGGACTCACAAGATCGGGCCTTAGATCATTATTGTTTTGAATATTTAGTATTTGTGCTACGTCCTGTACTTGTTTGAACGGCCTTCCTTCATTTTGCAATGTTTGCGAATTGAAATTCAGCGAGTTCGGTGGTCGGTTCAGTTGTTGTTGATTTTGGAGACCTCCATAATAATTGCTACCTAAATTAAAAATTTAATTAAAAACACTTCTGTCAAACGAATTTGAAACCCTAATCCATTTCTCAAGTGATTGTAATCCGCGAACGTTATTAGATTTACGATTAAAGACAGCGGGTTTGACCTTACGCCGCTGTGATTGGAATATTGTACGTTTTGGTTAGATATTTATTATAAGTTAAGCATGTTAAGTTCTTACTGATGATTTTTTTGGTTATTGTATGAATTCTGTAAACTCACCCTGTAAATTATTTGGCCACATGTTCCCATAGCCAATAGGAGCAGGTGTTTGAGCATTAAAGCCCTGAAAAATATTAGTTAACATTCAAAAACCTTTTTAATGAGGTCCATGACCCATGTCAAAAACTATTTAATTATTAATAGCATTCGTGGTTAGTCGCATATTAATAAGCTTACCTAAGAAGCTTACGGCGTCAATAAATTAATAACATCGGATTTTAATCAACCGAAGTTAATTATCACCATAATGGACTACCACGCGCTTTCATAATAATCCGCAACAGGTCATCCACTTCCATAAATATCACGCTTGCATCCACATTTTTTAATTAGCGTAACCACAATTATGTAATTTGAACATTTAATTAATGTGAAAAACTTTGCTAACTTAAGGCTGACTTACCTGTGGAAGGACAGCGGGATAAAACTGCGAATTAGGTGGGAAATTAAGGCCAGGACTCCCCCCGGGTGCCCCTTGATTAAAACCCGGGAATAGTTGTCTAATAACTCCTCCGAGATCAAGGAATCTGGAACTTACGGGGGCCGGGCCCGCTTCGTTTACAAAAGACTTTCCTGTTTTTGTGTATCCGAACGACATTGATCGTGATAAGTCTACGGCTACGTAGGAAGCTGGAATTTACAAATGAATACTTACGTAACTTTAAAATTATTTTAATTTAGATTTAAGTAATGCACACAGTACCTAGGTATAACAAAGTACAAATGGCGAACTTATTAACTTATGACTTTATCTTCCAGTCAACCTTTGGGCCGAAGTAGAAAAAATACATTAACATACATTAACGTTTTTACGTTGAATAAGTACAGCTGCTGGGAAACATTATTGATATAGCTACAAATCGGTTGTACTTTACAATAAGATTGCATCGTAATATTTTGGCAATTTTTCGTGTTTTATTTTTTATTATGATGTTAATTTTACTAAGACTGGAATAGGATTAGGTACTCTTTTTGACCGTAACTAGGTAATAAGTACTTATGTTTTTAGAACACTGGCTTAAAGGTAGTTTGTATTCTGTTGAAAGGCACCAAGTTTAAACTACTTTAACATAAAACAATCAATTCTGCTTATTTTACCTTCAGTAGCCAAGGCAAGTAGGTAGAGAATACCTGTTACCTANACCTGTTACCCACGCACACGGTGCGTCATCGTATCAACATAAGGATGGAAATTATTATGCGCTTAAACTAGATTTTTATCAATTCATCAGGTAAGTAGGTAAAATGATTTTAGCATTCATTTAGCTACTAATTAACTTTTAATACTCCACATAACAAACGTTTTTAGTAGTTGAAATAATTGACACAATTATTGGTCATTTACAAAAGGGGATCATCTTTAACAATGTCGTCATTTGTTGCAGAACTACTTTATCAGATTAGGTGCCACTGGCGCGACAAGTCAAGAGAATTAAGTAAACAAGTACAAAAGTAGGTACTTACTCAGTGAAATAAACAACAGAATGTTGTTTTGATTGCAAAACATAATCACAGTGTACAAAACTCGAACAACAAATATTGCCACACAAGACCACTACCTCGTACGTAACCGACGATGCTGTTCGAATACTCATGAATGACTATCAGGCTAGCCTGCGCTTCATTAACGATGCCCCTTTAATGTGGTTTATAACTGGCTGATTTATCTATTTGTCGAAGGCATTAAGTATTAATAAATATTTCGTCAACATTGCAGATGATTAACAGAACTACAACATTAAAAAATACCCACAAAAATGGGATTCCCCGTGACGTTTGCATATTATTATCATATCACCTTACATTTCCACTCATTTATTAAAGCAGATTGTTACTAGCTAGAAATGTGAGATTTTTATTCTTACCTTTACCTACTGTTAGTACCTACAAATCTTTAGCTAATAGCCATTATGTAAGTATTTAACATTTTCTTTTTTTTGATCCAATCGCTGCTGATCTTCTTGAGGTTATCAATCAGTCTATCGAGCGTTCTACGCTACGCTAACCCTCTATACGAGTCATTCCATNCCAAATGACGTCCACTGCTGGACAAAGGCCTCTCCCAAGGTTTTCCATAATGAATGCATACTTACCTACATACGTACCTCATTACATATAAGTAGATTAATTATTTTTTTCACTAGACAGCAACCCTAACAGCGTAAGAAGAGTTCAGAGGCACGCGATAGAAAGAGACAAAACTTGTAGGTGAATAAAATTGTAGGTACGTAGTGCTGTGCGAGCTGAATTCCACTGTATCGCGTCGTAGCAAGACTCGCATTTATTTAAATCGTCTTGCGGAGTAATCCTTCTGTACCTGTACTATTACTTATTCTGTGCTACTGTTAGTACAAATCTTTAGCTAATAGCCATTATGTATTCAACATTTTCTTTTTTTGATCCAATCGCTGCTGATCTTCTTGAGGTTATCAATCAGTCTATCGAGCGTTCTACGCTACGCTATCCCTCTATACGAGGGTGGTCTTCACTATTGATTGACCCTGTCTTTGTCGGTTCTTCAACAGCTAAAGTATGGTCAAGCTGTAGATCCTAGCTACACAGGAGTTGCAGCGGTGTGAAAGAGAGGTGGTAATAGTCCCGAGCCACCCCGAGCTAAAGTATGGCCAGCGCCACTGAGCAAAATTATCACTTCGCTAAAGCCAGAGCCCCGATTACGGTAACTTTTAACGTCTACAATCCAGACGCCCTTCTGATTCTGCGATACGATTGGTCAAAACAGCTGACGTACGCTGTTGAACGACCAATCGTATCGCAGAATCGAAAAGCGTGTCTGGATTGTTGACGTTAAAAATTACCGTAATCGGGGCTCTGGTCTCTGAGCACGTAGAATTTTGTCCAATGACCCCAAGCTACCCATCTTTATCGCTCGCGCGTACCTATAAATATATTGCTGTCGCGACTGTGCGATGGGCGCCCGCAGTGAGTGTGCGAGCGCAACAGCAACATAATTATAGTAGTAGTAGTAGAGTATAGTAGTTCTTTCAGTATAAACTGGTATAAACTTCCGTGCTTCAGCCCTTGGTTGGCGGCAAAATGTGACAGTTGTAATTTCGAAAGATCTTTTTTTTTCTTGTGTGGATAAAAATGATTGGCTGAATCACTTCAAGCCAAACTGATATTTTAAAAAACAAACTGTCAAATGAGTTTAGTGTAACCAACTTAAAACTATTCCCACTAAAATGGTTTTTGTACTCCGTTCAAACTACCCATCGTCGTGTATTTATTACATTAAAACGTTTTTTTGTGTTATAACCACTAACTTCAAAGGCATAACACAATTTTGGTGTATTAATTTAAAAATTAAAATTTAGTAATAATGACATTCGGATTTAAGTGGTAGGTATGTAGATAGTAAAATGTAGGTATGTAGGTATGTAAATTGAAACTTAAAGACATATTGAAGATCTTTTGTTATTGATAAATAAATAACAAACTTCTCTTTAATATATTCTGTTCATTAAAAAGTTGCGAGAAAATCTCTTTTTTTAAATAAATTAGGGTAGTATATTATTGTAAAGTGGCAACATTGCTCCGTTCGGCGTTTTTTTTTTGTGAATTCATTCTTTCTTTCCTTCATGTTTCCTTCCGTCAGTGCCTGATTTTGATTTTGACAATTTGTTTGTTTCTCGAATCTTACAAAGGCCACACAAAGCCGATTACCGGTTTTTATTCATCAGCTAAATACAAAGTGAGTAAATAAACGCTATTAATTAGTAGTTTGTTTTTGTAGTTTTCCTGAATGTTGATGTTCACTTTCTTGTTTTGCCGGCAGATAACAAAATGAGTTGTCCCTTCCATGACGAGCAAATAGACCAGCTGAAGGCGTTTGTGGAGCTATGCAAAGCTCAACCACAGTTTCTGCACCATCCCAAGCTAGCGTTCTTCAAGGACTACTTGGTGTCGATGGGAGTAACCCTGCCATCGGCTACTTTTGGAGCTAAGAACTTCACACCTTCGGGAGACTCGTATGTAATTTTTTTATGCTAACCTAATTAACATCAACTAATTTTATTTGACCACAACTTTGTGTCGGCATCGACATGTTTTGTACGTCGCATTCGCATTTTACATCCATAGAAATTGCACTATAGATGTAACTACGCATTTCAATTAAAATCGATAAGTTAAACATTTTTGCCCAAAATATTCCAGCAACACTGGAAATAATAATGCTACTGAAGAAAAAGCTTCATCAGGTGAAGATGAATCTGACCAAGAATCTGATGTGGAGCTCAACATGGAAGGTATGTTTCATTTTAAAATATTCTCTTTACTCTTCCTACATCAGATGTAATATCTTGAGGTTGTGTGTGATGTGGAAATACTTATTTTTAGTAACTGCCTTTTTACTATTTTGAATAATTTATGATTGTAGCATGCAATTATTTTACATTAACAAGTTCTTAGACCCATAATGTAATAAATTGATAATTATTATGAGTGACCTTATAAATTAAAGATAAGATTTTTGAGCTTTGTTTCATTATATCAAAGAGAGCTTTCTATATCCACCCTTGATAATAGGTATAAGTTTCTATCAGTTTATTACTTGTACACACATTTGATGCTATCAACCAAATCTATGATTCTAATCTAATCTATTTAGACCAGTAGTCTGAATTAATCTTTAAATTCAATTTCTGGGTGTAGGAGTCATTGAAGCAGACCAAGTGGACATCAACCAAGTCATGGGCGACTCTAACAAAGAAGTCACTGACGAGGAACGCGATCAATCAGATGAGAAGCGCTCGGAAGCGATGCGGGCCTTCTCTGAACAACAGTTTGATGAAGCTATAAAGCTGTACACTGAAGCTATACTGCTGAATCCACAGAGTGCTTTATTATTTGCCAAGAGAGGACAGGTAAAGTTATTAATGATTATTCTATATTCTACGATTAATGGCCTTTGCTAAAATTCGCGAGGGCGCAAGGGCGCAGTTCTGTATCGGAAATTAGTATGAGCAGCACACTCGGGGCCCCATGCATGAATAGACACCTGCTGCAGCTCCGTTCACCAGTACGAGTTTTAGCAAAGGATAGGTCCTTTGTGTGGACTGTGGACACTACTTCACAGGAATTCCACAGTCCACACAGATATTATACATTTTGTAAACCACATTCTATGCTATTTTATTCAAATTATTGCAATAGAGTTCAATTTGGAACTGAAAATACTTATACAGGCAGTACTTCTAATCTTTACTCCATATAATAGGCATGTGAATGAGGTGCTGTTTTTTTTTGTTATCACAGGTATACCTCAAACTGAACAAGCCAAATGCCTGTATAAAAGACTGCACTAAGGCCTTGGAGCTGAACTGCGACAGTGCGGCAGCATACAAGTTCCGAGGACGTGCCTATGGGTGAGTTACAAATTAATATACAATCTAGTAACCCTACAAAAATACATCAAGTTTTCTTTCTTGTCTTGTAATAAACAAAGTTATCTGAACTTTAGTCTAGTTATTAATAAACTCAAATACAAAATATTTACATTTGTTTTGCTAGCACTTACAGTGATAACTGTAATCTAAGTAAAATATCCATAATCACATGAAAGTAACTGACTAAAATTTGCTTTGCTATAACAGGTTGCTGGGCCAATTTGAGGAAGCATCTCACGATCTTTGCGAATCTTTGAAGATTGACTATGATGACCAGACTAACGAATGGTTGAATGAAGTGAAGCCTAATGCTGAGAAATTGAGACAGCACAAGCTTAGTGTGCAACGCAAGAAGGAAGAAAAAGAGGTACCCAATTGTTTTATCAAGAATAATTTATTCTCGTTTTACAGTAAAGTAAGGTTCTGTTGAGCGTCTGGTACAGTCTGTACCTACTGTCTGCAAAACCTTAACAGGCAAATAGTTTGTGACTCCCAAAGTAAGGCAGACAATAAGGCTAACAATCTGTTACTATCGAAATAAGGTTGTGTTATCAATCAACAAACTTGAATACAAATACGATATCCCTCCTTCTCAGACTGCAAGTTAACCTGTGTGTCTGCGCTTTAGATGCATAGTTGTATGCGCCTTTTCCTTGATAATAAGTAGTGATGCAACGAATACGAATATTCGTATTCGCCGAATAGTAGACATTTACCGAATATTCGTATTCGGTGAAATAATAATTACGAATACGAATACCTACTTTTTTTAAATTTTGTCACACGTGTGTTTCTTCGAACACTATAGCCACAACGACATGACGGGAAACCCCCGGTCAGTATGTAACAAAGTAGTAAGCAAGTTCTCTTCCGTAATTTGACAGTCAATGAATGTTTATGTTGAAATGTTTTGTGATTAGTTACAAAGTAAAGTGATACAATACAAAAAAATGCCATTTGTAAATTTTAATTACTAAAACATTAACCATGATAAAAATAGTTAAATTTATTAGTATTTCATGACTATGTAGAGATATTCGTATTCGTATTCGCCGAATAGTAGATTTAATATTCGTATTCGTAAAAGTAGTATTCGTTGCATCACTAATAATAAGCGTCAAATGTTTCAGCACCGCGCCAAGATCCGCCGCGCGCGCAAGGCGCAAGAGGCGCGCGCCAAAGCTGCGCGGGCGAATGCGACGAGTGGCGCCACGGCCGGAGCCGGGACGGGCGCGGGAACTGGCTTCCCGGGCGCGGGAGCAGGATTCCCGGGAGCGGGTGCTGGCGCCGGATTCCCGGGCGGTTTCAACACGCAAGACTTCAGCAACCTGCTCTTCGATCAAGAGCTTATGGCTGCTTTCCAGGTAAATGTTTTGCCTTCTGTTTCTATCAACACGCAAGACTTCAGCAACCTGCTCTTCGATCAGGAGCTTATGGCTGCTTTCCAGGTAAATGTTTTGCCTTCTGTTTCTATCAACACGCAAGACTTCAGCAACCTGCTCTTCGATCAGGAGCTTATGGCTGCTTTCCAGGTAAATGTTTTGCCCTCTGTTTCTATCTGTGTCATTAACAATCATGAGAACAAGAATAGTGGAAGTGAAACTGAAACCTGAAGCTGAAAAGCTTTTAGATATCCACCACTGGGGTTAAAACTGACTTCTTCCCAGTGTCCAATTAGGCCAAAAGGAAGATTACAGTAGTGTGGTGTGGTGGATATCGCAAATTATTTTTATGTCATGTCAATCCTCATTTAGACAGCTTATCTTCATCTGTAGACTACATTTCATTCAATTAGTTATAGCTGATATTTTATTTATTTAAAGACTATTGCACACACATAAAAATGATCAGTACATAAAGGCGAGCTTAATACCATGTGGCATTCTCCCCCAGTTGATTGTGATTTGTTTAATTTGCTATCTGCAATTAACATAAATTATTATGGTCTAATCTTTATTACTTGAAGAAACCCCATTAATTTTTTCTAACTCACAGCTTTACCCCTATTTTTCAGGACCCTGAAGTCGCTGCAGCTTTCTCAGATGTGTCGACAAACCCGTCCAACTTTTCCAAATACCAAAACAATCCTAAGATCGCGTCCGTCATCGAAAGACTGCAGTCTAAATTGGGCAAAGGAGGTGCTGGACCATTCTCAGGAGGTGCCCCACCAGGTAAACATTTTTTACACCATCACATTTATAATAATGAATAATTTGAAGAGATAAATATTTGCCATTTGAAACATCAACAACGGTCTTCATCCTTAGTATTGTAGGGTACTTCATTCTTGTAGGTATGATGTTAATTTTTCCTTTTTTTTCAGGTTTTGGCGGCGCTGCAGCTCCTGATGCTGGAAAGCCTACTGACGATGACGTGGGACTTGACTAAATTGGCCATAAATTGCTAAATCTTACTTCCAAGTGAAGAGTAATCATCTCTGACATTTATCATAAAGCATTTATTTACATAGCAATAAAATTAATATGTATACCTACTAATACTTAGTATTCAATAGTTGTAATCACTGTTATTCTATATCGGTGATGGTAATATAAACCTGTCATTGAATTCTATATAGCACGCAGAATATCTGTAATTTTTGTATTTTGCTGTGCATTTACTGTTGATTATGGATAGTATAGCCTTACTTAATGCTGATGCATAGCTCTATGGAAGGTGCTTAACTGTTATACAAGCAAGATAGTATATTTTGTATGTATAGTTATAGTTGAACATCGTAGAGAATCAAATGTTACTTCATGTAGCATCATTTAATATTTTTGAAATGGGCTGTCTGCCAATTAAAATTTTATAAGTCCAATATGCTTCTTAATTTTTTCATTTTATTCATTACTAGTCTTTTCAAAGTTTTAGGTAGGTATTTGTACTAAAATCTGAACTGGCACTTTGCTTAGTTGATAAATGTAAATTGGCAAATATAATTAATGATAATAGCACATTCACCTTATTATTAGGTTTTGTCTGATTATGCTAGTTATTTTGTATTTTGTTTAATGGTTTAATAAAATTGTGTAAGTAATTTTGATGTTTTAATACTTCCCCATAATAGTTATCAAAGCTACACATCCGAACTTTTAATAGTTGGCTGCACACGGTTGTCCGGGAGACCCGTACGGGCCGTTACTACGGGCGCCCGGAGTGGGAGCACAAATGAGCTTCGTTTCTACTTACATTGCTAGAGGGGATCCTGTTATTTCTGCTCTCTGTTTCACAGCGACGCGGATTGATGCGCATGCGACCCGTTCCGGGCAGAGCCCGTACAAAGCGATCATTCGTACTGAATGAACCCACGTTTCAGAGCACTGCGGGCGTGATCCGTACGGGTCTCCCGGACAGCTGTGAAATCAGCCTTACAGTACACACATTCTAATCTTTTAAATTAGGTATTTAGTCCAGGGCTTATGTCTGAATGTCTGGTTCTTTGGACCAACCTTAAATCTGAGGAAGAGCTATGATTTGGTGATGGGTTATGCTAACTAAATTGCTAAAACTCAGCCAGTTATTGAACTAATCAGCATAAAATTAAATCTAAGATATTTGAGATTTAACTATTTATTTTTAAACAACTAGTACATAGTTAACATTCAAATTTCATTTATCCTACCCCAGCCCAACCTAATCTTCTTTTCATGAAGTTTCAGCCATGATGGCATGCTTTTTGGCAATGGGTGGGCATTAGGAAACTGAAGGGGAGGAGATGGTTTCTTGAAAGGATCTTCATTCTTCAGCTTTCGTAGCAAATACTCCTTGTTGATTTGCTTTGGGTCACGGTACTTGTCCATGTAAATGTTAAAGGGCTTTCTCCTAGGAAACCATTCCTGTGGCCTAATGTATGGTGAAGGGAAGTCATACTCGTAAACTGAAAAAAAATCGGTTAAATTATGAGGTGCCACTCTGCTACATTTTTATTTTACTTAAAATAATTTCAATAGCTTTCAAGATTCTTCATTCATAATAAAAGGTTTAACCAATAATAAGCCTGCTGTTTTATAACAATTCTGTCTGGAAATTTAAATTGATGCTACTACATTACATAGGATATCAATCCTCTAATTTTAACATGTTGCTAATATAAGTCACTCACTTGGCTCTTTCAATTTTAATGTATTGTGAAAGAAGTCCCTGACAGAATTGTCCCAGTCACTTTGGTAGAAAGCCAGACCAGCAGGAGTGATGTTATCCTGATATTTCTTGTACCAATCCCTGGATACAAATGTTCTGTCTTCAAGAGGGGATGAGGAAGTCACTGTAACATAATAATAACAATAAATACCAAATTTCTACTCTAGAAACATTATTTATGTCAGTATTAGTTATTTACCTTTTGGTAAGTCATATTCAACTTTTCCATCTTGCTTGTACAATACAAACACATATCTGTGGAACCCAGTTCCTTTCAGTGGAAAAGGTTGCAAGTATTCCACGATGGTGTCTCCTTTCTCCATATAGTTTTCTGGGATGTTTGCAACTAACCAGTGAACATATTCTTTCTCATTCTCTGTCATATGACCATCAAGGCTTGTAAGTGCTAGGGTCCACAAGCTGCCTTTATCTGCCTCATAGCTCACACTGGGTTGGTCTAAAGCTTCAGAGGGTTTAATAACATTTCCAGTATAAACAGGTAATGCAAGACCTTCTTTTGATTCGTGAAAAATCTCTAAATTAACATATGGAATAAAATATCCTTCGCCATATAAATGTTCATATACTCCATAATGATCTGCAATAACTTTCTTTTGGTTTGGCCCTGAGTTTATAAGCCATTCCTTCCGTACTTCAACTAAATCAACATCCAACTTTTGTTTACGAGCCAATTGTTCAAGGTTTTTATCAGCTTTTAATTTTTTTACATGTTCTATCCGTGCATTACGTTCTTGAGAACTTGATTTCCTGTAAGTTTAAATTGTCATACCAATTATGGTTAATATGATGTACATAAGTTTTTGAGTAATTTTAAGTTAATGTATTATTATAAAATTATTTTTTACTACATAATAATATGTATAATACCTTGCTAACCTCACTCTCTCTATAAATACAAACTGCAAGAAAACAAGTAATAATTATACTTACTTTAAACGAGGCAGACCTATATCTATCCTAGTAGTGTAAACTTCATCTTTATAGTTTAATTCATCCAATCTTTCTTTGATAGTTCTGCAGAAAATGGGGGCCTTGCCTCTGATTCTGTGAGCTAGCCGAATTTGTTGCAACTGCACACCGATAGTAACAGATTTTTTAAGCGAATTGAACATGATGAAGTCACTATCGAGCTACAATCCACCTGTATTTATGTATTCATTGAATTTCAACAATTATTTACCCTAACCTGCCGAGGCTGACTGAGAAAACCCCTGTCTCATCTGTGGTCTCATCTGTGCTGAAAACAGCGAGCTTTTTTTATTCACTACGATTGAATTGCCGATATAAAATGCATATAGATGACCCACGCTGAAAAGTCCCACCAAACTCAATGACAGGGGGGCGCTACCATCGTTCAACTATATGGTTTCCAACATGGCAAAAATCGGAACCAGCGATTCGGTATTGACGGTGGCGCCCCACTGTCAATGTCATCGATAGGACAGTTCAGTATTTTGGAACTATATTAGCGTCATTAATGTCAAATAAGACGATTCCTATTGGCTCAAAAAACTTATTTAATTTTTCTTGGCCAATTAAATTTGTACAAAAATCCAATATAAAAAACTCTATGGCCATAAAAGAGTAGTACAACAACGTCACAGAAACCATGAAGCTAAAGATAAAAATGGAGGGCAGAGTTGGAACAAAAACTTGAGTCAAATACCTACTTATATCTATCTCGCTCTCTGCGGCCCTACCTCTCTTTTTAGTGTGAACTGTAGTATTGCTATCTTCTGATTTAAATCTCCTTGAAAACGTTTTACCAGGAATACACTTAACATTTTTAATGATTCTATGTCAAGAAATAAAGATTTTACATTGGTTTCATTGAATTTGAGCAATTTTATATTTTTTGTTTATTTAGAAAGAGCGAGTCTGCCCACAGAGAGCGAGATAGTGATACTTAGTTTGTGCTTCAAGTAGGTATTCGGAGTGTGGCCTCCATTTTTATCTGTAGCTTCATGACAGAAACTTATGTCAAATCAATGTTGACGTATATAGTGATGTACACGTTTAATATAAACAGGTTATTCCTGTTGTTGTACAATTAATCGATTAAATTGTTTAGAATTTAATACAATATGTACAATATCGTCATAGTGGACAACAACTCGTTAACCCCCCATTTCCTTCCCATCTCTTCTCTTATTATATAAGTTCTGAAAGTCCTGCGCCCCCTTAAAAAGTGGCAAAACGTGAGTTGTAATTTCGGACGGCCTTCACTTCAGCGTTTTTTTTGGGAAGTAATCGTTCCGTGAAGGAATTCTATTTTCGGAGCAATCAAAAAGTACCACTTTTTTAGAGGGGCTGCTGGTCCACACTCCAGTTACACTCCATTTTCATTCCAGCTGATGTGCAATTCGGTATCGCAGTCGCATTGGGGCTCAGAATTGCCATAATGGATGTAAAAGCGCTAAGTAGAGAAGTACAAAACGATTTTTAATTCATTCATGCTAATCAGTAAAGGACGATTTTCGATTCATGTTAAAAGAAAGAAGATAGCTTACAAAGACGCAACATAACATAGAAATATTGATAACAATTTTTAGGTACAATAAAATAAAGTTAGGCGCAGACCACCGACTTTTAGTATGAAGAATCGGCCGATACCAAATCGGTGTAATGTGCGCACTTGCATACTGATTAACAGTCCGACTCAACTATCGGCCAACTAAAAGTCGGTGGACCCTTCACAATCATTGAAGAATGTCAACATTCAACATTTTTGTAGGCAATTTTGTTGATAGACATAGACCCACTATGTATCGATTACTCATTATAAAATCAATTTTTTTGTTGCATGCAATACGATAATTACTAATATAATACGTTTGTCATTATAATTTAACAGATAATTGTTTTTTGTTGATTGTGTAGGACTGTAGGACAAAACACGCACTGGAGAGAGTGGAGACCCGGCTTCAGCTAGGCAAGAAACGCGCGCCATTTTTAAAAGCTTTATAAGTTACTAGCTTTCCGCCCGCGGCTTCGCCCACGTGGAGTTTTGTCTGTCACAGAAAAAATTTATCGGGCGCGTGAGCGTCCCTGTTTCAAAAACCGGGATAAAAACTATCCTAAGTCCTTTCCCGGGACTCAAATTATCTCTATGCCAAATTTCATCACAATTGGTTCAGTGGTTTAGGCGTGAAAGCTAGACAGACAGATAGACAGATTAGCTGCTGGCCGGCCGATTTGCTGGCCACAATATGATTAAGTGCAACCATTAGGGTATGACGAGATTAAATCAAATTAAATTTTGATTTGAATTTAATCGCGATACTCGATGAATTAAAATTTCAATTGATTTAAATCGAGTTGTTACATAATTATTGATTAGTTTCATGCCAACCAAAGAAAAATTATCCGATTCACATTTTCACGTATTGCCAACAAAAAACAAAAAGAGAGTGAAAGAGAGGCAGCAAGACGGCAAGCCGAGAGCCGATTGTGTTGTGAACGAATACGACGATTACGACGAGAGCGACGAGTACATACGAGTCGTCTAAAAAAGTTATGGATGGCAATCAGTGGCATTTGTGTTTAGTGTGTGAATTGCCTACTAGCCGGGAAATCAATAAATAAATAATATTTCTGAGGCTGATAGATAGTAAAATTTTAATAGCAGTGATTTTATTATACAACACGTGATAACATCTATCTTCCATCATTTCCAAGTGCAGTGTTGACGAAAAATAATTGAAGAACGTTGTGTACTACGATCCTAAAATTTTAGGAGCCATTTACACATGGCGAGAAGTCACGTAGACTTTTCTTTTGTTGATAAAATGTTCGTGGCTATCTGATTGTGGAAATAAAGATAATTATTTGTGCTGTGAGAATATCTAACTAACTACAGTGCTCAACAATGGATAGCAAGAATATCCAAAAAAATGCTATGCAGAAAAGCGCAGAATTTACTTTTCGAATACCACCGGAGGCACCCGTATTCGAACCTACGCCTGAAGAATTTTTGGACCCATTGGGATATATCGCCAAGATTCGACCAGCTGCTGAAAAAACGGGAATATGCAAAATAAAACCACCTGCGCGATGGCAGCCCCCGTTTTCGTTAGATGTCGATAAATTAAAGTTCGTCCCACGAATACAGAAAGTAAACGAACTGGAAGCCATAACGCGTTTGAAACTTTTGTTTCTTGAGAAGATATTAAAGTTTTGGGATCTACAAGGCTCTTCTCTTAAAATTCCTATGATAGAAAATAAAACGTTAGATCTTTATTGCCTAAAGTTTTGGGTCGATGAAGAAGGGGGATTTGAAAATTGTAACACACCTAAAAAATGGCGTAAGATCGCCAACGCCATGGGATACAGTCAGAATGCCAATACAATGAATTTTCTCAGAAGTAATTATGAGAAAATATTGCTTCCTTACGAAATATTCGAGAAAAGCAAAGCAGATATATTGAAAACTGTAAAAAAGACTGAACCTAAAAACGAAATCAAAGATGAACATGATAATAGTAAACCACTGTTTAGAGAAATATCAGTGGAATCCATCACTAAACAAAAACACGAAAATGATTTCAAAGAGGAAAAACCAAATACAAGCTTTATCAAAAAAACAAAAACAGGATCTGATATTAAAATTGACCCAGATTTTAATAACACTGAAGAAATTAAACGTAATAGAGAATTAAGAAGACTAGCTTGCTATGGCCCGGGACCAAAAATGCCAGGGCTAAATGATGAAGAGTTTGATATCACAAAATGTAGAAAAAGACCCAGATATGATTTAGACCCTTTGGCAATTTACATGTGTGCTATTTGCCAAAAGGATAATAGAGATGACCAACTCCTGATATGCAATAGTTGTAATGAAACCTACCACACTTTTTGTCTAAAACCACCACTAAATATGATACCTGATGGTGACTGGCGTTGTCCATGTTGTATTGCAGAGGAGGTTCATAAGCCTGCAGAAGCATTTGGATTTGCTCAAGCTGAAAGAGAATATACTCTTCAACAATTTGGAGAAATGGCAGATAAATTTAAATCAGATTACTTTGGAATGTCTGGTCATTTAGTTCCAACATCTGTTGCAGAAAAAGAATTTTGGAGAATTATATCATCAGTAGAAGAGGATGTTACAGTGGAGTATGGTGCTGACCTGCATTCAATGGATCATGGTTCAGGCTTCCCTACAAAGTCCTCATTAAATCTATATCCAGGTGATCAGGAGTATGTAGATTCTGGATGGAATTTGAACAATCTTCCAGTCTTAGATGGTTCAGTATTAAGATTTATAAATGCCGACATTTCTGGTATGACTGTGCCATGGATGTATGTTGGTATGTGTTTTTCTGCATTTTGTTGGCACAATGAGGATCATTGGAGTTATTCTATCAATTATTTACATTGGGGTGAAGCAAAAACTTGGTATGGAGTTCCAGGAACTGGAGCTGAATTATTAGAAACTGCCATGAAGGCTGCTGCCCCTGACCTATTTAAATCTCAGCCAGATTTGCTGCACCAGTTAGTTACTATAATGAATCCTAACATACTCATGGATGCAGGTGTTCCCCTGTACAGGACTGATCAAAATGCTGGAGAATTTGTTGTTACTTTTCCTAGAGCATATCATGCAGGCTTTAATCAGGGTTATAACTTTGCTGAAGCAGTAAATTTTGCACCTCCTGATTGGCTTAGAATTGGTCGTGAGTGTATTATCCACTATAAAAATTTAAAAAGATTTTGTGTATTTTCTCATGATGAACTTATTTGTAAGATGGCACTTGAAGGTGACCGGTTAGATTTGGAAACTGCTTTAGAAACCCAAAAAGAATTGGCTCGAGCAACTGATGAAGAGAGTGCACTGAGGCAAAAGATATGGAACAAAGGTTTGGTGACCAAAAAGAGAACTGCTTTTGAGTTACTTGGTGATGATGAACGGTTGTGTGAAGTATGCAAAACCACTTGCTTTTTGTCTTCTGTTTCATGTCCTGATTGCAAACATATGTCATGTTTACAACATGCAGAAGAGTTTTGTCAGTGTCCAATGCAACAGAAAGTTTTGAATTATCGATATGATATGGAAGAGTTGTTTATTATGTTGCAAACTATTGATTTTAGAGTCAACAGTTTTCATAAGTGGATGGCTGATGCAAAAAATATACTACTGCCAACTGCTCCAGATATTGGTCGACTCCAGAAACTGAAAGTATTAATAGATGAAGCAGATGAACTCAAAATTCCAAAATCCTCAATACTAGACCAGTTGAAAGAAGAGTATACAAAAGCTACAGAAAATGCGGAACCTATTGTAATTGAGTTAGATGATGATTGAAATCATTCAGAAGGAATTTGATGTAGTACAAACTAATTTGGCTAATAGATACTAAAATTGCACATTTAGATAATTTGATGTAGAATATAAACAAAACCAGGCTTCCTTCATTTATAGTTTTTTAATTTTATTGGTAAATAAAATATCAATCAAATTAAAATTCTGTTAAATCTTGTCAGTTATTAATAATTGTAATAAATTTCTTCCTTTATGTTTAATAAATTTTAATTTCTGAAAATTAAAAGGGTGTCAATTGCAATTCAACATTAAAAAACTAAAAGATTTATATGCCAATAATTTTAATTTTGAATCAAAATTTAAATTAAGAAACCCTAGTCTAACCCTGTTTCTACAACTAATTGAAATTGAAAATTAAAATCCCAAAGTTTTCAACGAAATAAATGATACTTGCATAATTTTATAAGACGGTACTAAACACAAAAAATAAATAAATACTTTACACTTTGGGGTTTTAAGTAGTTCAAATTTTATTAACTGACACTCCACTGTACATACCTATTTTTCCGTAGTTCCAGGTGTCCTATATGTTTGACACTAATTTTGTCATACCAAATTAGTACCTACTTCTTAGGATATTATTATTAATAAGCTTTAAAGATATATTGTGTTATTATTAGTGCCCCCACTACTATTGTAAGTTATTGTCTGTATGATTGATAAATCTATTGGGTACTGTAAATATTTTTTCATGATAAAATATTGTGGTATTAATAGTAAAATTTAATAATGTTTTATAATATTTTTTCTTTCAAATATTGCTAGTGTTCCCACCGTACCACAATATTGTAATATTATTTATGTGATATGATTGAGTTATTATAAAGTTTACAATAGTCATCTGGCTGGAGGCATGGTCATGGTCTAGAGTTATTATGTTTATTTTAAGTTATACATATTTTCAACTAATTGTCATAGAGAGATCATTTAGAGTGATGATAAAGGAAGTAATGTTTATTTGGCCAACGATCATAAACATCCTAGTTAATATAAAAGATAGTCTTTGCAGATGGTGAGATAGCGCATCTTGCATACATACTCGTATAACATTCAAAACGAGTGTGAATATTATTAGGTATTATTAATTATGTATTTCGTTTTCTTCTGAATTTCTGATCTCAGTATAAAATCTTTCATAATATTTAGTCTTAATATTTCGTAGTAAAGCGATTATTACTTAAATGTACCTATGTAAGTTTAATCATTTTCGTTATGAATAAATGTGAACATGAAAAAATTCAAATCATAGCTTCATTGCATACTATTTAAACTAGGTATTTTTATTTATCTGACAAATAATCGACTAAGCGATAAAGAGTAATTTTGTAAAAGAGGGTTTCTACGGAATCTTTTAAAGGCTATGAAATGTATGTAAATGTTGAGTGTTCAAGTACTTTTTCGTGGGGTATCTGTGTATGTTCACAATTACAATTAATTTAGCCATTAGGTAGCTAATAGGTATTGCTTTTAAGTATTACATAAGTGTAAACAATTATCTTACTTTCCTTAGCATTATTTTGTATTAGAATTAATTTGAATTATGCCATTGTTTGACTGATTGCTTGTATATTTATATTTTTGTATGGCAAATATCACAACTATTTAGCTTGAGCGTAGCTATAATATTATGTTCATTTTCATAAGTTTTTATTTGCACTGTGATTGAAACTATTTTGTAATTTGCAGAATATTAAGACAAATAAGCATGTATAATTAATGAAATATTTGGAGTGATTATAATTAATAGTAATGAAACTTTAAGTGTTAATAAATTAAATTCTCATACTTAGTAATTTCTTTGCTTTGATACCTCATTGACCCTATTCAACACTTTATTTTCTAAAAAGAGGAATTTTATAAAATTAAAAAAGGAATGTTCTGTTTAGAAATTTATTGCATAATTGCAATTATTATATTGTGGGTGCATGTACCTATACAAAACGGATATTTATTTAAACTTAACAATAAAATTATTATTATACAAAGTTATTTGGTGTTAGCATGTGATTCAATCACAATAACGTCGTAAACGCCAAAGAAAAACATTTTACAACTAAATGAGTGAACGAAATATTATTTTAAGGATTAAATATTTTAATTACGTGTGTAAATAATGAAAAAAGATAATCGCAGAACATACTATGGTGAATAGGGATGGTTTACTTAACCATCCACTCATATAAAAAACAACGCCTATTCCGTTTATCCTAAACAGACACCCAAATGTAGATTAACGCGTGTCCATCTATCCACCCTGAGCAGGGTGGATTGTTCTTCAATAGAACTATTGAGTGCCCTCGCTCACATAAACATTTAGTGATGCAAACGCGTTACAGTTGCGATGCGAACATAATTCAGTAAAGGCACAAATGACCTGCGATTGCTCTACTCGTTTACTACAGCATCACTACAAAAAGTCGTGGGTGAGGGGCCTAAAAGGTATTTCTTCTTCTTTTTGTCGTGTCGACGACAACAAACCTACACAGTGCCAACCCAAAACTCCGCCAGAAGAGTGCAAAAGGCATTAAATACATTTTTTATTTATTGCGGTCATCGATTCGGGGGCAACTCGTGGGTGGCTGAATGTAGTATAGTCTGATTGGTTTTAAGGGTGGTTTCACATAGTGCTAGTCCATCACACTTTGTGAAACCACCCCTAAGCCTGCCTATCAGCGGCGGCATAAAATAGTAATGTAAAAGTAAATCACAAAGATATTAATACATTGTGTAATATGATTATAAATACTTTTTTACGTAAGGTTAATTTACAACATTTATACTTAACTATAAACCACAATATATTATATACTGTGTATAAAAAACACCATTCTGTAAATGAGCTATACAGGGTGTACATAAAAACAATTAAAAAAAAACGTATTTTCCTCTAGTAGCATTATTTTAATTTTGAGTATGATAAACTCATACGTATGATTACTCCTGCGGGGTTAATCGCAAACGATATCCAATCTCTGCGTTTCAAAGTAAGTGCGCTGAAGGGCGCGTAAATAGGAGATGCAGGCTAATTGCTTCCGTGTTAGCAGAAAATAAGTTATATGCCGTTTCAAGGAATATTCCATTTTTCTATACAACGTGTACATTAGCAATTACATTCACACCATACTTCTTTCAGATCAGGCGAGTCAAGATTTGAGAGATTCGTTTAAAAATAAATAATATTACATAAGAACGATAACATAATAATTAGCACCTTAGTAACTAGTTTAAGTACACTATCACAACCGCAATTAATTATAGTCGTTGAGTATATAAAAGCAGTATTTTTTATTAAAAATATAAAATAGACATAGAAATTTCAAGTCATTAATTAATGTCATCATCGTAATAAATGGATAAAATATATCTTAACAATATCAATAAAAATGTATATTAAATCACCAATAGGACGGACAGTTGTATTAAGCAAATCTATAAAAATCTGTAACAACGTTAAATAATCGGATATTCTTATTCGAAAAGTAATAGGAGGTATTATGTTTTTAAGTGTGGAAATATTCTGAATATTCCAGAAATCGGCAATATAATTTTTACCCTACAAATGGGTTTAAATGTTTAATCATAATGTTGCCACTATTTTTTCCTTTTACATTCCTATTACTTATTCCCAAGCAGGTTTATTCAAATCCATTCCTTACAGCCTGTATAAAATTTATGTAATAAAGAACATAAGGATAAGTTAGGTATTTCTAATTAAATTGCTCAGAATTTTCCCACACTTACCTACCCAAAAACTCATGTTGTATACTTAATTTATTTATACGTCATTATTAAGTTGTTGCTTATTTATAAAATAACTTAAATCCTACTTACATATTATTATACGATGCTATAAATGCGTAAAAGGCAGTCTTTATTAAAAAGCAGTGAGATTACATTAATACTGAGTTAGTTTGATCAGCTACAGTTTTGTTGTTTGACGTGCGTGCGTTTCAATGTAGCGCGTGACGTTTGTTTGAGACCGCGCGTAGACACCCGAATAATATAGCGTATACTATATGAAAATCGTAAAGCTTCGGCCAAACCAACGCGTGCAGTTCGCGTCAGCGATGGTGATCACTGCGCCTAGATCGCCGCGACCAATGGCAGGACGCGTCGATGTGAACTAATCGCTACAAATTCCTACACGACTGATCGCCATCGTGCACGTAGGCTGCACGCATTGGTTAGGCCGAACCTTTAGTCATTATTATGTGATCGAGCCATGTCACCGAATTTTCAAGCGTGCTTACTAGGAAGCGAAATCTAAAAAGTGTAACTAGTTAAGTATAAACGATTTTATGTCCCGCGGCTTCGTCCGCGTGGAATTTTGTCTGTCACATAAAAACTTTATCGCGCACGTCCCTGTTTCAAAAACTGGGATAAAAACTATCCTATGTCCTTTTCAGGGACTTAAACTATCTCTATGCCAAATTTCACCAAAATCGGTTCAGTGGTTTAGGCGTGAAAGCGAGACCGACAGACATTTATAATATTAGTATAGATTGGTCCGTTTGCCTAAGCTTATTTTTCGGACATTGTAAGTATCCATGTCTACGCGTCGCGTCGATAATAATAATAGTTTTATAAATATATTGCAGCTTAACGTACCATCGTACATGCGTCCCTTTACTTCACTGTTGCTTGACGCTCTTACGATTCACCTTAGTCTTAAAGACGTCAATATAAAAACCTACATTCAGCAGCGATTCCAATAAATAAAGACGATAAATGAGATTCAAGCATAGAACATTCGTGTGACGTCACTATCCGGTCGCTGTTACCGAGTCCCGCATCTCCCGGCCTTTAGTCTCGATGGGCAGCGCGAGACAGGCTATAGCGGCCAGTATGGCTGCCAGCGAGTATACACCGGTCGCTATGACTATGGAGTTCTTGAGCAACACCTGGAAATAACGTGGGGATTATTTATAGGCTGCTGTATTTATTGATCACGAAACAGGTTGTATCATATGCAGGTAAAAATTTGCCGATGTCTATCGACAACCAGGCACGGATCTAGGGCGGCAATCCGGGGCGCCTGCTTGGGCAGCAGTCTTAAGGTGAGACGGCTGGGAGGCGCCAAATGGACAGAATGGGGCGCTTTGTAAGACCTAAAGCGGAGGGGGCGATGCAATAAATAAAATATGAAATACTGTCAGGTGCCCATGACGGCTCTTTCCTTTGTTTGGCAGTCTTGGCACTAATCTCATCGATTTTTACCCTTCTTTTATTAAGTAGAAAGGTATTTAACTTGAGTCGTTCGTCGTTTCAGCCAAATGCCGTCTACTGCTGGACAAAGGCCTCCCCTAACGATTTCCACAACGAACGGTCCTGCGCAGCCCGCATCTAGGTACTTCCCGCGACCTTTACAATATCCTTAGTCCACCTATAGTCTTTTTCAGGTAAGATGATCCGTATGACACTTCAAGGTTATCCATATTACGCATACTACATATGCAGAATATTTTTGAAAAAATATTTGTATTTTATTAGCAATATAATAAAAAAAAAAACTACTTGTCTTGAAATATATAGTAAAATCTGAGTCAATTGATTATATTTTAATTAAATACGATGTAAAAATATGTTTTATTTAATGTACGCAATGTGTGAAACGGAATAGATTTAGTGCTGGGGTATTTCTTGTATAATAAAATCGATTATTTCCGCGGTTCATTAATCGATTGCAGTGAATACTTAGTTTTTAAAAACATCACAAAAATCAACTATATTTTTCGATTATTGACTTTAATAAACACATTGAAAATAAATTAATAGTTTTTAATTTAAAGAAACAGAACCAGTACATTTTAGGAATCGTTTTTTTGAACACGAACCATGAAAATTAAATTTGAATATTATCAATAAAAAATTGTTACAATAATATTTGTAATTAAAAAAAAACATGGTTTTTTTTGTTAAATAACACCTATACAAAATATTTCTCTAAAAGTAGGTTTTACTAACTCTTCGAAAAAAATCGATAGATAAATCGCTATGGTTTAGTTATGTGACATCTCTAAATCTTTCAAACTCGAAACGTCATACGGATCATCTTAGGTGAAAAAGACTATAGTGGGAGGTCTGCCTACTCTACGTTTTTCCGCTCGTGGTCGCTATTTAACTCGAGTAATAGAACGGCTACCTAAGTAAACTCCGAAAAACGTTACTTATCCCGACTGAGATTTGAAGGCATGCGATGCGGCAGGACGATTACGTTCTATTAGGCTATAAAATGCTACTCCGACAAACGTTACTCCGACACTTCTGAATATCGACATAACTTTATTCCGATACTACACTATTCCGACAAAGGATATTCGCCTCTGTCTAAGTAGTGTAGTGTCGAAGTAAAGTCATGTCGATATTCAGTAGTGTCGGAGTAACGTTTGTCGGAGTAGCATTTTATAGCCTAATAGAACGTAATCGTCCTGCCGCATCGCATTTCGCATGCCTTCAAATATCAGTCGAGATAAAGATTTGTCAAAAAGGAATGTTTTAATTTACCTGTGCCACGTATGGTGTTATCATGGCGCCGAGACGAGCCACCCCACTGCAGGCACCCACCGCCGTAGAACGAAGAGCGGTGGGGTAGACCTAATCACAAGATTATTGTTAATCAATCAACGTCAATACACTTACGCTGGGTTGCACCATCTTACTAATAACTTTAACAAAC